AAATAGTTGATAATGAATATATAGAAAATGTTGGGGGTTGTGCAAACACGAAACAAATAATAATTGAACTTATTTCACTTAATAATATTTCCTAACTTTAGTATCATTGTAGAATTTTTTAACGAGCAAAGCTGAAATTAAAGCCGGAGACGTTGTGTAAACTTCTAAACTTCGTCCCAAGATTAAAATGAGTTTATCAGATGTTTATCTTTTAACAGAAACTGGATTATAACGACAAGTTTATAGACTAGTTATTTCAAACCAAAGTGATATTTTTTATCTATATTCTTGATAAAGTATACCGATGTTTGTGTTTTATTAATTTTCTGATATGGAAGTTGAAAAATTTTATACTATAATATTAGTCTGATAATATTCCGGCTGTTTTCTTCTCTAGGAGGTGTTTTCCATGTATAATGGGGTTTAAAATTAATGATGAGACTAATCCAATAGCCCCTAATTAAAGGGAGAACTCTCATTAGGAAAACGATTATTTAGCTCATTAGTGGAATTTTTCCACGAAAAGTATACAAAATGCAAATACGAACTTTTATGAACATAGTAATCTAGCCCAGAATATGAGAAAAAGTGAAATTATCAATCTTTGGAGTTGGAACCTGAAAATTTATTCTCATATTGCTTCACTTGAAATTCCTCAATTTTTATCAACGAGTTTTATCATCGATTACTTCGTCTGGTAGTGAATTTATATGATTCGAAAAACACCACGGACAATCAATTTTATTTTTTTTTCTGCTCTAACTAGAATCTGACAATTTTTTTACTATCGAACGATATTTCTACGAACGAGCATCTCCGAGTGACAATCGTCGATTTCGATGGAATCTGTCGCGCGAAGCATTTCTCGCAAAAATATTCGACACTTATCTTTTTGTTAGCAAACGTCTGTATCGAAGGGGTGACGAAAAGTCTGCAAGTTGGGGGTGAAAAACCTATTCGGTCCAATACCTCGGAAACTATTGTATGTAGGGAAAAACTTTCGTGAGGGATATGTGTATTCTCATTCGAACAACCAGTGAAACGAGAGATATCTTCTGGAATTTATAAAGAAAAAATTAGTCACGGATCCTTATTGACTGCTAAACAATATCTATAAATTTTATAAATTACTGTAATCTATAGCTTCATAGAAAATCTATTGATACGTAACGAAACAACAAAATTGTTGAGAATTTTTCAAAAATAAGCGTATAAAATTGAACATTCAAAGGATGGTATAATTTAAAAGCCAACTAAGCGAAAATCCTCGAAAGTTATAACACGTAATATCATTTTCACGTGAACAATATTGTGTCGAGGGTTTTACAGTTTCAATCTCTACTCTTTATCCAATGCATCGTCTCCTCCAACTTGAATATTATATGAAACCCGAGTTTTAAGGTATTCGTAGGTTTATATGGATTTTATACGTACAAATTTACACAATAATTGATCAAGATTTTTAAATACTATTTATTTAAATAGATTTCATATTTTTCAGTTTTCATATTTTTTCTACACGAAATACTTTCAAAGATATTGGACCAAATAGTATCTCCATCTTCATCTTTAAAGACTGCTTTCATCCCTTCAAATGTATGTTTGCCAATACGAAAATGTATCGGGACATATGACTTTCTTTCATCCTCAAAATGGGTACAAAAAGCTTCCACGATATAGTCACTTGTTCTAGTCGGAATAGATTAAATAAACAAGGGTATATCTTCGTTTAAAAATAAATAAAAAATGTACGCGTATAAATAACTCTGTAAAGACAGGTATTTTTGTAATTTTTTGTTTCCTCCGAGTTTGAAATATTTTTGGGATTTGTTTATTGATACCAAAGTAACAAAATATATTTTCAGAATTCGTATTTATTCGCCTGTCTGTCTGAATGTTGGTTCCGCCGTAACTCGAAAGCGGCTAAATATATTTTGATAAAATGCTTTACGCGTGGAAAAAGTTTTAAAGCATCGAAAAGAATACTGCTTTATATCGGGCTTTCGATAAAGTATTGAACAAAAATTGTTTTAATTTGTTCGAACCAGCATCCGCGCGAACGAAACTGAGAAAAAACTATTTTATTTATTGTTTGTGCTTGTGTTAGTACCTGCAAAGTTTATACGGAAATTTCATTTACAATTGTTTCTAATTAGTTATAATGCGCTATACTTTTCCACAAACGAGAAATTCGAAATTGATTCGTGATTTCGCAAATCGACAAATTTTTATATTTTTATGCACGAATCTGTAAAAATGTTAGCGACTGAATGCCTTCATTGAAAAATAAGAGAAATAGCAGAATTATTGAACAAATGGCTCTAACCTGCAGGGACGTGCAATTTTTGCAATTGTCTTTTTCATCGTACATCATTGAAAACGACGGGATTGTATTTTATCTATCGATACCATCACGGCACGATAGTCAGTAAATTCTAAGGTACATGGGATAGAACCTTTTTACGATTTACGACGGAAAGCCAACGTGTAAATAGCGACGAGTCGACGATATTTCGTGAAACGACACCGTGACTGGAATTGTGAGGAGGCCAGGACTCCCACTGATTTTTATTCTATTCCTTTCAATGGATCTTCACAATAACATCTGGTAGATTCGCGAAGATATCATTGTCATCGTACGTTCGTTGCTATTTAAAATAATGTGTAACATCTGTTCTATCAGATGTATGAAACAGTTTCCAATTTCGTGAGTAGGTCACAGGGGGACATAGAGAATATCTAAATAAATCTGTACTAGCAGAAGTGTCGGATTTATGAACACGTACCTTTGCAACAATAAAATAATAGCTCTAACAATTTAATATCTTAAAATACTGGAAAATTTCTGGATACACTAATCTCATAATTATATAATTACTACATAATTAGTAATTATCTTTACTATTAACGTGTGAAAATATTGATTGTCCTGTTCTAATGTTTCACCAAATACTTTGGAATTTTCTGAACAAAGTAAAAATCGTTTTTATATAGCTTTGATCTTTTATTGATTTAGATCCCCATCAAGAACATAAAATACTCCTATATACAAAAGAAAAGTTTAAAAAAAAAAAATAAGGTAAATTGTAAAGAACATAACGACTATAATATAAAGTATGCAAGTATAGGAACCTTACGATTATTTTTTAATACAACTTAACTGTTTAAATTAAAATTACATATTCATAATTGATCTCTGTTTAAGGATTTTTCGTGACAATTGGCGACATCTATTAAAAGACATTACAAATAGTTTGGCGGTAATGCAACGTAGTAGATCGTAAGAAAAATAACAAATTCCAATAACATTGAAAATTCTCGAGGACGAAACTCTTTGCACAATGAATGTAGAATATATTGATAGTGACATGACATTTTTAGGCGAGAAGAGAATGCCAGTTTCAGTCACACAAGAAAATAAACAATCAGAACGAAAAAAGCATGAATAATTACAGTTTCGTGTACGCTGTCGGGTTAATCTAATGGCGCATGAAACTACTCGGTTTGTGGCCACTCGATTAACAGTCCTCTATTCTGAAATGGTCCGTGGCTATTATCGTGACGCTCTCTTTTCGTCTTCCTTTGATCGCATACATGGTAACACACTCAGGCTGGAAGCTGATAATGGAGCAACCTATACAACCGTTTCAATGTGTCAGCTTTTGTAGAAACTTTCGTAGATCGGAATGAAGGATAACGTCGTTAACATTATTCTGATTCAGAAATTTCTAAAGGCCGTAATTAATGACTGATTGAAATTCTGCTATGTACCGAGTCGAGGTAGGAAGATTACGATGCAATATGCTAGAACGATGACACACATAAACATAATCTACATTACCTTCATGCGTTCTTATCTTGGCTGTCGCGATTCTGCACGTATATGCATAATCGAAATTTGTCGAATACTGCATGGTAACACCGTAGTGAAATACCTTTAGAAAACTTACAGTGTCTTTTAGACATTGTAAAATATTTGTTTATTTATACTGAGTACCAGGGGGGGGGAAGGAATTTTGTATTATTGGACGAAACACAGGACTGCGTCTAAACAAGGCGGATGATCGTGGAAATATTTATATATAAATTAAGTAATTAAATCGACAGTTCAAATATTTATTTATCAAAATATTTTACGATATAAATATACGTTAAACAACTACATAATAATATATTACGAAAATATGCTTTACATCTAGATTGAACACTTGTGTATTGCCACCGGATCACAAAGATGAACACAAACAATACGAGTATCTTTACTTTAATTTAACGCACCAGTACTATTCACATTTTATCCATTTTACGCGTATATTAAAAAAAAAAAAAATTGTGAGCAATCTAAGCTGCAATGATTTTTTACGAAATCTAGCGAAACATTTTGTGAAAGTACACTTTTTAACTGGCAATGACGAACACTACTTAGGTATTTATTACGTATAAAGAAAATTAAACAAAAACATATTAAGGAACTTTGTATACCTTGGTATCAAAACAAAATAAAAATATAATAAAAAATAAAATATATAAAATTAAACAACCGTTAAGTAAAAATTATCTAAATTTAAATTTCCAAGTTTGTAAAACAATGGTCAAGTTTGATAAATCACTAAACACCTAAACGCGTAAATATACGGTATTAGTCTTCTTTAAAATTTATAAAAAAAATAAGTACTATCAGGATTTATCATGGATAGTACCAATATAGTATCAAAAATAACAATCATATAAGTAACATCATGAGTAAACGTAAACTCAACATTATCATATTTTATAACATTTTTATATATTTTATATAATACTGTTGCATCCCACGCCGTTAATCTAAAATCGAGAGGATAATGCATATAAAAAATTTTGATTTTTTATTCTTACGGTTTAACTTACCAGATAGTTTTATGTCTTTTCGCGTGCCTTTCAAAAGCATAGAATTGACGATATATTTTGTTACATATGCTACAAACGAATGTTGAACGATTACGAGCATAATGAACGTGATGGTGTGTTTTTAAATGATGAATTAGGGATGATTTATGCCTGAAAAGAAACTGCTGTCAGTGTTGCTAATACAGTCTGCAACCTGAAAGTATAGACGCTTCAAGGTGACTATTTCCTCTCTGTTACCTATACATTTTCATACACATATCGCACTTGAATGGTTCTTTCACGCGACCGCAATGAATGAAATGTCTGTTGAAATGATATTTCTGATTGAAAAGCCTACCGCAGCTTTCGCAAAGTATTACATACGTACCTGAAAAGAAATTCGGTAACAAATACCACGGCTCGCCGTCAATAAAATCTAATATTACCTCCGTGTGCTGCAGCCAGATGCATCGCCATTGCACGCGTAGTTGAAAATATCAGGGAACATAATGAACATTTAAATCTGTAAGCGAGGCTCGTGATATGTACACCAGAAAAATGTGTGAAAATAAATGGAAAATTATATAGTAAAAAAATTATTAAGAGCAAAGCTTGTAACATTAAACTCAATGACATTGGATGTAATGGTAACAAGCCATTTATCATTCAGATACTTTTTCATAAAGGCTAATTTAAAGATTTTATCGCAAAATACAAATAAATTAAATAAATGTATTTTTTGCGTTATATCTTCACTTACTCTTTGTTATTTACAGTTGATAGTATATCTGTGGAGTAATGTCTCACTTCCTCTGCAGAATTGCAGGAAAGTATATTAAAATCAGGCTCAGAGAAAGATGTATCATTAGAATCATTAAATGTGATACATTTTTGTTTTACTGTACTAGGTATTTCTGTTTTCTCTTTCTTTATCTCATTAAAAAAATTTATAAATCCAGTTAATGGTAATGTTGTACTTCCTATTGGATTCTGGGACAATATTTCTTCATTAAAGGTAGAATATGAATTTAAATCATTGAAATTGATTTTACTGTCTGTGTTATTATTCATAGTAACTAAAGGTTCATTTAGAGTTTCTGTAAATATTTCATTTTTTACTTCATTGATTGTCATTTCGTGTAAAGCATAATTTTCCAGAGAGCAACCACAATAAAGATCAGATGAACAGTTTAGTTTTTTATCACTGAAAACTGATATATCATTGCTCCAATGTTTTGAAGACATTAGGGAATGATTTACTAAAACATCATTATCATTCTCTTTGTCTTGTATCAAAGAGGAATATTTTGTCTCATACATATCAACCTCATTCCCATTTATGTCATGTTTTTTTTCATATATGTCATTATCATAGATTTCACTTGATGAGTGATGTGTCTCATCAGAGCTCAATGTATATTCTGTGAGGTAATCCAAGCTATTGGTTTCATATGATTCATAGTTGAATTTACTGAATATTTCATTGCTTGAGAAGTCAATTGGATTTTGCAAATCATTTGGTTCATTCTTTTGTGGATCAGAGAAAGTGTAAGACTCAGGAATAAATTCTTTGGGTATATTGTATGAGACTGGAGACAGCAAATTTGTTTCTTGTTCACTTTCAGAAACAGGTATTTCCTGTTTTATATGTTGTGTATCAATGAACATTTTTATTGTCTCCTGTTGCATAGGGGGTTCTACTTCTGTAGATGTAAATAAATTTTTACTTAACACTTCTTTTCGATCATCAATTAGTGAATAAATATCCCAATTGGGAAAATTATACATTTCCTTGAGAAAGTGTTCTTGTTTTCTTCTTCCAGACAATCTTTTACTTTTAACTTTTCTTTTATGACATTTTTTTATAAGAGAAGAATTATTCAACATTGTAGTAGAATTGATCATCGTTTGTGCATTTTGTTTTGTGTTAATAAGAGTTTTCTTTTTTTCTACTGTAGTTGCCCCAGAAGTTCTATGCACTTTTGCATTATTTTTTAAAATATTAGGTACTGTACGAATGGACATTTTACTGGATGTACAATTATGTTGCTTTAAAACTTCATTATCAGCTACATTATCAGTTTTTAAGTTATTTATCTTTTCTTTTAAGTTATTAGCTTCTTCGATTAACTTTCTTTTGTTTCTTTCTTTATGTAATAAAGCTGTTATTTTTTATTCTTACTACAAACAAGGTTGTCAAATTTATTTACTTTTTCAGTATTTTTTATTCTTGTTTGTTGAATGCTTCAAATATCTTTCCACGGATTTGATCTAACTATACATTGCAATGACATTTCCACTGTTTGTTAGAGTTACAAAATAAAGAATAAGAATTAACAAAATACAACTTCACTCTCTTGTACTTACTATTACATTTTAATCATTAAAAAATGTAAAATGAAATATTACGTGCATGATAAAATACCGAGAAAAAAAGAAACTATCAATATCATAAAATAAAATGAATTTTAATAAACAAACAAATTATTTCTTCCAATGATATAGTTAGAATAATAACGAGACAATTTTTATATGCAAACTTACCTAGCTTCTTTTATGTAAATTCGTTGTAAGCTGAGCAGTGTTACCACAGGCAAGAGTGCTTGTTTAACACTGTTACATCGATTATTACAGTAAACCAATAAAAATGATACAACTAACGTGAAAAATTAAATATGAATAACATATACATCGATACAAAACTTGCACTGCCTGACAACAAAAGTTTTAAGCGTGACTTTTATTCACCGCGTGAGAACACATATGTACTACGTCTATACGGCCATAGTCGGCGACAGAAAACAAGTGAACTTAAAACTACAACGAAGGGACCGTTGGTTATGTTTTACATAAAGAAGAATGTATTCTGAGAAGTCCTTCAATGACACAAAATATAAACATTACTAAGCAGTAACTGAACAGTTTCACGTTCGAAAAACTGCGTGCTACGTATATTTACGTTCAAATTCGATAATTTTCAAGAATCGATTTAATATCGATAAACTTTTTTATGCCGTTTGTTGATTGTTCGATCTATTGATTTTTCCGAAGATAAGTAAACCGTGAAAAAAATGTAGAAAAAAGGAAATAAATCTGAACGCGAAATTTAGTAGTAAAGATTACGACGATGCTGTGGATTGTTCCAGTTTCCTGTAAGTCTAATTATATTTTTTATTTCATCGAATTTTCGATATATCTAGTCAAAACAAGTTCTTCAAATCGTAAGCGTGGATAACATGTTTTCGTGCACAAAGTGAAAGAAATGTCATTGAAAATTAAGCGTTGCTTTTATGCAAATGAGGTTATTTTTCCATATTGCAAAAACATGTATTATTCTCTGTAGATAAATAAACTATGATTATTTTATCAATACATAGTGTAATAGAATTATTAATGTGTGGTAGAAATCATAAACTAAAAACTGGTAATGTGTTAATAAAATATTTTATTGTGGTAGCATAATTATTGCATGTAATAATAAAATTTCAAGTGTAATAAATGATAATATGTATATGTGACAACAGTGATAAAATAAATAAAATGTTTTGTGCTGTAAAATATTTGTATGGTTGTTTTGCTTGTGTTAGTTCCTAACAATAATGCAATTACCAATCATTATCATCATCTACATCGTCACTAGTAGACCTTAATGTAGAGAATAAAACATCTTTAATTTTTGGTCGTGGATCTTTGGTAAATTTAGTTGGTACAGCTCCAGCTTCTCCTAGCATCCATTCCAATTCTATGACAATATAATAATGTATATTTATATTTATTCAAATGTAAGAAATTTAGTTAAAAAATATTCTTTAACGAATAAAAAAATATATGTACCTGCTTCAGTTAATTTTATGCCTCTTAATTCTAGGGGTCCAATAAATTTTTGCACCATGTTTCCATTATGATAGATGAAAATCGTAGGAAGATTACTGTCTGGCCAGTTTTCAATACAAGTAACAGAAATTATTTTTAAGAATTTTGTTGCAGAGAATTTTCTTGCTAAATTATCTAAATAGTTATTGATAAGCGAACATAGAGGAAACCTAAAAGCAATTCCCACAATAAGATAAAGTTTATTCGTTACACTCTGTTTTTATCAAATAATTTATTATCTTACCCAACTTTGTACAAATGAAGAACAACCCAAATGTCCTCTCCAGCATTATTTACTTCCTCAAGATAATCTTTCCCCGATATTTCTTTGACCTCGCCATATTTAGATTTTTCAGCTAATGCTTTTAATTCTGCTATTCTCTTTTTTCTGTATTCTAATAGAACCTTCTCATCTTCTTCATCCTCTAGTTCATCTAATTCATCTAATGTCTTATTTTCTAAATCATTGAGTGCTAAGTGATAAAGAATAGGAAGAATTATTGGTATTTTGTTTGACATACATTCATGCAAGATGACTGAAATAAATGTTTACATACAACGTCCAGTTTTCTCATTTATGGTGTTTTCTACAATGTCCAATATTTCATCTTCCGTAACTTCTTTTTCTTTTTCAGGTATAATTCCTTTTTTCCTAAGAATGTCATTCCATTCTGTGTCCTCGTTTGGGTCTTGCTGTATTAAAAAAATGGTGATTATACAAGCTCATAGTATTTTTTTTAGAAATATATGAAGCTGTAAATATATTTGAAATAATTCTAAATTACAGTAATATTTGGCATTCCTTATTTGGAGTTGCAGATGTTCATTCTGACATAACCTCTATTCAGAAAAGTCAGTTCTTCACTTACCATGATGTAAATAGTAACTTAGACTAATTTCAGTCTACAATATTGATTTACAATATGTAAATTGATTGGTTGTTGTTTCAAGTAGCTTGAAATGACAACAATTAATTAGAACGTCATGTGACGAACCGACAGCTGACTACGTTTCCCACTATGAAATATACTATATAGCAGTACTCTTACACACATGTATTTATGGTATCATCAGTGACGCATTCACACTCCATTCCGTTCTATTTAAAAACCATGTCATTAGTCGGTGGCGCCTCTTATGGCTTGCTATACAGACATAAACCGGGCATTCAATCTTTGTACAAAGGGCCTTTTGCTATTTTCGTTCAGAAATAACTTTGAAACACGTTTAGCGAATAAAATTGAAATAGACAGTTTGTCTCTGATGAATTAAAATACCAGCCTTGTAAGTATAGCTTTATAGCATATTCTGCGTTTAAAGACTATTTCGAAAAGAGTTATTTCGTATCTATTATGTGTAATATTTTATTATACAAAGCAAGTATTCACAGTCGTTGAGAACGTTCCTGTTTCGTGGCATTGACCTCGTACTTTCGATAATAAGAGACGAACGTTAGTCGTAGTTCTAGGAAGGACGGTAATTCAGGGAAAACAGAACGTAAACAAGATAGGAAAGTTTGGTGATGCCGGTTACACAATGTCGTAAAACGAAAGGTTCGAGTCAGCATCGATTGTGTTTAATATTATTTTCATCAGAACCTGGACAATCTATTGACAATATTCTCATACTACTTACAGTGCAAAATATTTAGACTGATAAAATTACATACTTATGAGTAGCATGATAGATTGAGATATATCGTAAAATGAATGCTTCGTAGAGTGACAGGTGGAAAGTGTGACGATAAATTATTCAATCATTTTTCGCTTTGGAATTTTACAGTCACAATTTCTACCTGAGGCACTCTCGAGCGTAAGGATCAACAATATTATTCGAGGCTTAACCTTAACTCGGAAAAACATCGAGAATCGAAGGCATGGTACGTTCCCTCTCTTCCCGCCTAATTCGCGATGTCGTTGCTAATGGGACAGTGTCGTCATTCGTAACGTCGAAATTGGCGCGATAAGAGGTATGTATATGTAAGACGACACTTTCACGGATAAGGTACATACCTATCGACATCTAATCACTTTTCATTTAATTATTATTACTCTCTGCCATTCTCTAATAGTACCTTCGTTGAATATTAATACATTTCTATTACGAATTGAATCGAAATCGCGAAGAAAGTTGAATCGATTGCCCGCGTTTTTTCCGACAATTAAATGAGGTTATTCGTCATTGTATTTCTCTAAATATAATTGTATATCATTTCGAACAACATATTTCAAGTTCAATCGTTGTTTAATTGTGATTTAGGCACATTTACATTGACACATTTAATCGAAATTAATATTTTATTTCTGTTACAGTTTCTCATTACATTTCGAAAATGCCACCGGCCATGGACGCCATTACACGAACGGATTATGTATTGGTGAAATCTAATTCATTATTGGTAAAATCTAATTCATTATAGTAATCGACGTATGTGTACTTGTTTATATTTTTTTGTTTCTTTATTGAATTTTTGAAGTTTAGTGTTCAGATAAAATAAGAAAAGATCATTTTTTCTATTTCCTTTTATAATGATCACGTGATTTCAATTGGGCGGGAGTTAATAATGGCTTCGGTAGATATCGATGAAAAATTTTAATTACTTATATTTTCCTGTATTTTGATTGCAATTGATATTTTTTCGTACAGTTTTATATCAAAGTTTGATGAAACGTAAAATCTACGCAACTATAATATAATATTTAGGCACGATTAACAATAAACTTTAATTTTTGCAAGATTAAGAACATTTGCGAAAATCGGAATATGTTTTAAACTTTAATTCAATCAATATGCTTACAACTTTAATATGAAGAGGCTGCAATATAATATTTTTAAATTAAATAATTAATTTGTAGTTTTAAGAAACAGTATTTCCTTTGATATACATTAATTTTAGAGAGAAAAAAAGAGAAATAGGAAAGCACACGGTGCTTATTGAGCATTTGTTATTTCCTCTCCCAGTTTTATTTCAGGAATGTTGATAACCGTACGCAATGCGGTCAATAGAGTCAGTGGTTTTGCGTAAATAGTTTGTTGTTTTTCGAAGCACAGATGCTTCAAATAGAGTCTATTGCGTATTTGAAAATTTCTTCCAGAGCATCGTGGCTCTTTTTGTTTTATAAATCGCGATAGTAGAGCCAATTGTTCGCCGACTTCGATTTTCGGTCGCGTTAGAATTCTATTCACTTTACTATTTCTTTTTTCAATTATTCCTTTGATAATTAGAAATGCTCGTATCGGTATTAAAGTCAGTGCATCACTGAAGAGGAAGTTAGGGCGATAGACCAGGACGAGGAATGTAAGTATCTTCGTACTTTGTTTTAAAGAAAAGAAATCCTAATTTTAAAGTTTGTTAAAAGCAGTCTCTAATATTTTCCATTTTTTATTTACTATGTTTAGCACCGCATCCATGGGTTCGACAACATCGACGATTTACCACCAAAGTATACTTGACTGTGTTCTACGATCGGTAAGTTTTTAACACTTTTTGTTTCTCTGGTCCCCAATCAAAGTAACATGCATTGTTTCCTATTTTCATTTTTTAAATAATTCACTTTGACGACGAAATTGTACCAAATTGAATATTTCAAATAACAAGTTAATAAATTTGCTTCAATAAATTATTTTAAACTTTCAAAGTATTTTATTATTAAATCTTGATCAAAGTCGTTTTTTCTAAATAACTCAATTTTAAATTTAATAATTTTCTTTCGTAATAACATTTTCAACATTAATACATATCAAATTTTTGCTCTTGATTTGTCATAAATAAAAAGTTCACTTTTTGCTATTCAAAATGAAATAAGTAACAACAAAGTAATAATACTTTATTATACGCTATTTAGTTACCATAATCAGTCTTTTTCAGTCAAATCGTAACTCTCTCCACGTTTTTCATTCTTATAGTTGATAGCATTGTATTGTATTTATTCTATCAGCCTTAGAACGTATTCTAACATCTATGATTTTATCTATTCGTGTTTCGCATCGAACTGCTCCTAGTAGCAGGCAACCCGATGTACGTGTGTGTAGAGCGCTCAAAATGTCTAATAATTACTATACACGTATAGATGAAACGCTTTACTCTTAACATATTTATTGCAAGGGATTATTAAAAAGTAATGTTTACAGTGTCAAATGGCTTTGCTGACTCAATCTGTGATAGGACCAGCTAAAATATGTAGCAAAGTTTGTACCATCACTGATAAATGTCAAAGATGGCGCGTATAAATTGCATACGTATACAAATCGTCGATCTAATAAAGTAATGCGTACTATATATTTACGCTACACTCATTGACTGTACATCGGGTCGCTCGTAATCAGAGAAACCGGTTAATCGTGCAGCTGTGCTGGACCACGGCTATGTTTTGTGTTCAGCACCAAATACCTAAAACCAGTTTGAGGCATCACCTCGATAATATTTATAAGTATACGGAATGATAATTTCTGTCTATAACGGTATATCATCACCATCGTGTCGTATACGCACGCTCGGAGTTGTAGATCACCGTACATTTACATTTTAGTTTCTTGTACACGTTTTTTTTTTACATTTAAATTTCTTTTTACAAGTTTGGGAGACTAGAAATAAAATACACGCGACGAAGCGTCGATTTTAATTTGGTCGGTTAAGTTTCGTGGATAAAGAAAAAATGGCTCGCGATCTTGCTTGGCGCGAAAGAATGCAGATTAATTTTCCTCCGTGTACACGCGACATACGAAGCTCGACGCACGTGTAACACACGTGTAACAACGCGAGACGCTCAATCCGTTTTCACGGTGCTTTCACGTCGCGTGTACCTTTGTGCGACACACAGCCTTTGTTGACGGATCGCATAAAAGAAACATGCTTCTTCAACGGCGGCAAGCAAATTGCGGAAAATGTGCACCGCTGACTCCTGATGGATGAAAGTGGTCACGTGTATCGTTACGCGTTTACGCCAACGATATGAAAGGGTAGAACAAATATTCGTAAATCTCCATTTTTGGTACTTTACGAACATTCACTTCTTCGATAACGATTTTCGTCGGTATTTTTCTTACGAGCACGGTTACACCGACGTAGGAAAAGAACAACGTTCCGTTACGATGTGCGGCAGGAAATAAAAATGGGCGATCGTATCGGAAGGGAACTAGAGAATACGAACAAAAAGTCTAAAAAATTTTCAGGAAAATTGACACAATGGGAATGGCAGTAGAGGAATACTGACCAAAGCTTCCCTTGCGTGAGCGTATATTGCACGCACCGTCTGCCGTTATTGTTTTCTATTGTTGCGCTCCTTTTTTTTCGAAAGCATTGTTTGGCGAAGCGCTGACACTTCCGGTTGCGTGCTAGATTGGAACTTAACCCTGTATTTAGGCGTGTGCGGCTCGATTCAGAGGAATTTCTGCCATTTATACGCGGTTACGTATTACGTTGGGGTCAAAGCGATTTTAATTGCGAACAAAGCATCTATCATAATAGCGTTTTGTTACATTGGTATTTAAATATTCGCGACGGATTGAATAAAGGAGCATCGCTGACCCGTTTTTTACAAAAAAATTAATCCAAGTAATGTTCTATATTGGAGATTCGATTCGTACTTGTTTCAGATTTCATAATACAAATTATTAATTTGAAAATAAAACGTGTGGAGGGTTACTTCGCTAGTTTATGGTTGTGTTATTTAACTCTATCGTGATACTTTTTGCGTCCCTTTTCCGGAACATTGTATTTTCAAATGCATAAATATCCTGCTTCCATTGTCTGGTTTTAGTTCATCCTTCGATTTACCACAATCTCGTGGTCAGCTCTTTCGTCGAGCCGATATCTCTCTGTGGTTAGGTATCGATGGTTCTCTGACCTTCTTTCCTCAAATTACGGAGCGAAGATCGAGCTTGCCAATTCGCGTACGTAGTATGGTGAAAATGGCAAACAGTTGCTGCAAGTCAAATCTATCGATAGACGTAATAGCCAATTTATATGTACTCCGTTAATTCGTGGTACGGAGGACGTTAATCAAAATTTAATTAGACCTCCCGCTATATATTAAACATCTCTAATACTGTACGAAGAGAGATTTTAAGCAACGAAATTCAGTTATAATTATTGAAAAATGGTCAACAGATATTCCAATCCAAGTCAAACCTATAAACAGACATAATTGCTAACTTCCACGCAGGTAACTCTCGGTACCATAGAAATTTATTCAAATTAAAATTAAAAATTTCATCCATTAGTTACAGAAAATGATAAAGTAAAATCCACAAGTAGACATAATTGGTAACTTCTCAGCTATTACTTGCTACCGAGGGAACATGTAGATCTTACTTGTCTCCACAACGTTCAGAGAAACATTAGTAACAACGGAAGCATAGCTATGCCTGACATCGTCGAAATTGATTCGAACAAGTAATCATTTCACTAAGTGTCCATGAATTACAAATGCATCTTCGACATAACACGAAATCGTGCTGCTGTTTTCTGATTGAGAAAGATGATAATTTAATGGCGATAAAATGAAGCGCGGAGTAAGCATTGGTGGTTTAATTTACATTTCCAGTATCGCGAGGTCGCTACCAATTCCCAGGCGAAGCGTGGTAGACCTTGATAAGGTTCTTTCATCAATTAATGGGGACGCGCGAAAATAAATTTTCGCCGTTTGATATAAACACGGGAGTCGGTTGTAACGAGCACACGCGAAACATACTTCTCGGTGACGTTCCACGATAACAGTTAATATATTTACAGTCTCCAGATTACGTAGGTTCGGGCGCAGGTAGAACGCGAACACGGGCTCACGTTGGTCGCATAACTAGTGTGAACGCAGGATGTTCTTGTGTATTTAGAAATCGCGTTGTGTATCACGCACGTATACCCGTTCGTAAACACGCATATCCTGCGACGAGTTTTTTTCTTTTTTCGTAATCTCTATAATGATCTACGCATAACTCTCGCAGAAACAGGTGCTAACCACCGCAAAGAATCTCCCTTCTGTTAGAAAAAAAATTGTCCGTATCCTCAGACGTCGTGGCAACTAGCATTTTCAGAGCTTCTCAGTGCCATTGCACTTTGCTGATAATTGTTCGACGTGCAACGCTCGTCTCGTGGAGGTGCACGCATGCACCAGTGCCTAGGAGACGATGTTCTTGAATAACTCGAAAGAAGCCAATATGGCGAGGAGATAAAAATTAGAAGAATTCGGAGGGTATTTTTCGAGATAATATATCGACTAGAAAATATAATATAGTTGAAAACGATGGACTTGCCATAAATTGATTCGGATCGTCTAAGGAATTCGTAGTAGTATTATCATTGAAAAACTAAATTCGTGACGTTATATTATCTTGTTAGGAAGACGTATCGGACACTTCTCTGTTTGCTCGTTTGGCCAAGAAAATTTACATAATCGCGCGTATGGCATTACAATGCGACGGAAAAGGCGGAGGAGGGATAAAACGACCTTGCAGGCACTCGCGTACGTGCGATAGGGCCCTCAGGAAAGGCGTGAACGAAGGGAAGCAAAGAGAATCGGAAACGAACGAGGCTCCGAACGATCGTGCACAATCCAACTGACCGAATGTGTTCGAACCTGTGTGCATGTCCATTTCGCTTAGAACGTAGCCTACCGGAAATTTGCAGTTAGCTGTGTTCCTTCCAGGGTCGAGTGCCGCAGGGATGCCTTCATTCGCGTGATCGTTAATTGCCCCCCGAGCGAAAATGTAATTTTCAATCCGGCGTCGATTGGCGATAAACTGAACTCTAATTCCACAACGTCTCCGTTCGACGTAAGAGAACGCTTAAAGTAAACGATGCCGCTTTGTGTACGTATAAACGGCTTTCTGTTATATTTCATCGCTTCATCCCATTTCGTAATCCTTGATTGCCAATTACACGTAAGCTTTCCGCGTTTCCGTCGAGGAAGCACAATGCGTTTGATTGATCCACGGAAAACGTGCTACGATCTTAATTCGTGTTTGATTTTGTAATCTTTTTCCCATCGAAGATAAATAAAACTTGTAATTAGTGTGATCGTATTTTCAGAATACGTTGGATCCATCGACTTTATTGCAATATTACCGGGGTGATAGATTATATATAAAACGAAAATGCATAATTTCTTTGAAAAGAAAAAACCGACACGAATTGAATTATAGGTTCTAGTTTTCAGCATGGTTAGAGGATACAGTAAAACTGGATGTCAAAGTAGGACGTTCGTACCTGTTTGATACTATCTACCTGTCGGACAGAATGCAAAATGTTAATTAAATGTTAACGACTGTCAGAAGTAATACGGAACTTGTACTTTTTAGTTGTTTACGTAATATTCGAATACTGTTCCCATATTTTCGATGGACTAAAAATTACTTTATCTTCTAAAACGTGAAACGACCGGATATCCTGATTCATTCTACATCGTCGAAATACTAAAAAAAAAAAGGTATAAAATCCTCTCGTGTACCGTTTGCTTTCTGTACAACTTTAAGATTCTTTAGAAATTCGGTTTTCCTCTCGACACACGCTCCATAAACCAATCGACCTTAGTATGTATTGTGTTGAACGGAAGGTTTACCCGTTTCCTACCAGGTGGTTTTATTGTAGTTCCATTCGAAGACTCTCAATTACGTCGTTATTTTTATACGTATTAATCATATTCAGTAACAAACTACTGTTTTGTTGTATCGTTGTCGGTATGTTATTAAAAGAATATTAAAAGAAATATTGATCGACAAAATACGATTCGTGCTTTAATGATCTATGAGTATATTTTGATTTTACTGAAATTCTCTACGATCTATACAGGGTGTTCGGCCACTCTTGGGAAACATTTTAATGGGAGATTCTGGAGGCCAAAATAAGACGAAAATCAAGAATATCAATTCGTTGATTGGGACTTCGTTAAAAAGTTATTAACAATTAAATTAAAAAATTTCAAATCATTCACGGAAAAATTATTTTCGGTTGTGGGGGTCAATTTCAATCGTTTTTGGTGAATAGACATATCTCCGAAATCCTATCCACTTTCGAGAAAAAAAATCAGGTAGGTGCTGAAATATTTCAGCGAAAAAAAAATTTTCAAATCGTTCTAAAAAAATTATTTTCGATTGCGGGGGTCAATTACAATCGTTTTTGGTGAATAGACATACCCCCGAAATCTTACGCACTTTCGAGAAAAAAATTCTTTACCGAAGATATACTTTGTGGCCGGAAATGTTTCTGTAACTTTTTAACGAAGCCTCAATCGACAAATTAGTATCCTTAATTTTCGTCTTAGTTTGGCCTCTAGAATCTCCTATTAAAATTTTTCCCACGAGTGACCGAACACACTCTTCATAATAGGAAATATCGTATTACTCGCGTTACGGTTTTCGTTCAAACAGTCGGTATCAAGCTTCCAGTGAAAAATGTCGCGCCAGCGCGTCAATATGATATATTAATAGAAGTCACTCTAGCTATGGAATCATGGTACACAGGGTATTTCATAACACGTTTGCTTCAGTGGTGGGCAGAGGACATAAGAACAACAAAACAAGTTGAGTAAACATGGATAATAAAATGTGTTTATTGTCCGTGAATGTGAAAATCTGCGTATGAGACTTCGAGTGTGGTCTTGCTATCGTGCAAGGGGTTGAAAGTGTCCTCTAAAGTAAAACTTGCTCCAAATTTTCGGGCAGTCGAAAGCAGAGCGCGAACGCCCGTACCGTGTCTCTTATCAGCAAACTTTCCAGCGAGATTCGAGACACAGTACGCCGCGTTTTGTTGGACGATAACAGTGCCCGTGTACCTGGTGGAGGCTCGTAGCCAATGAACGGGCCGCCTCGGCGTCGACCATCTTGCGCGGCTCTGCTTTCGAGTTCGGAGTCGCGTGGCGGCGACGTTCGGCTTGCAGTGTACGCCGACTGCCGAGCCGTGACTGACTGACTGGTCGTGTGTGTCCCGTGGCACGACAGGTTTCCACCGTGACCGTACCGTGCAATTTCTTTTTATCACTGAAAAACAACGGGGAGCAGTGACGAGTCAATTCGACGGTCACGACGAGGCACGATCTCGTTCGATGCGATCGGAAGTCGCGACTGTCAACCGCGGACTCGACCGTCTCGGACGACGCGCGCGTGTTTACCTTGTGCTTTTTACGAAAGCGCACGCGAAAGGCAACTAAAATGACGAGACGCGTACGTTCCCTCGTACCGTGCATGTTCGGTCGAACTTGAGCCACCGAGGTCCATGCAAGTGCTCGAAAAGAAATACGTCTACGGAGGGATCGCGTTTGACATTGTCGAGAAACCGAACGTGCGCCTTTTGCGTCTTTTGCGCGTGTGACTTCCCGCGGATTAGTTGGTTCGACGTTGATCGACAGTGGACAAGTGAGTTCGACAGAAGTTTTGGGAAGAGTGACTTCGCTAGATGACCGCTGTATGACGTGAAGGTACGCGACATTTAAATCGTTTTGTTCATACGAATAGCAACGTGACAAATATTTGTCTCATCTCGAGGTATCTATTATAGAGTTGGGCAAGATTTTTGTCCAGATAGAATTAAGATTAAGAAACTGTTTATTCGTTACTCTTTGAATTGCAATAATATTCGAAAAATACTGATTTAAGTAGTCCACGATCTATAATTCAGAACATGATCTTTTCATTATTTTAAGCGGTGTATCTTTTAATTTGTCCGTATTTAAAAAGTGTTGGTATTGTCAGAGTCGAACGAAAACCTTCATAGGAATAAAAAGAAAAGTGATTTCGGAACTCGATTTGCGAAATAAATATTACAAAGGAAAGCGTGAAACCTTCCGTTAAAATGATATTGATATATTTATCATTTTAAAGAGCAATTGCAAATATTTAATTTATACCATTTTTACTCCGAAAATAGAGGTTGAAAACGTTACGAATAAATATGTTTAAAATTAAACGATCATTGATATCTATTAAAAAAAATTATTTAAATTGTTGTCGATACGTGTCCATTTTACCGATGAACGCCGAACTACGCGCGAAGGATTACATCACGATTTGCAAATTGCACGGGTATTCCGCGTTGACAGACGACCTTCGTTACGCTACGTGGCACTGACATCTTTGCAATAAAGAAAGCGTGTCGCACAAGCGACGTGTAATTGCGTCTAGTATTCGGCGCAGGAGGACGATCTTATTCGATTTAACCTTGCACTTTCGCCAAGACGCTCTGGATCGCTCGTTTATTGCGTTTCTTCTCCGATCGAACTTGAAATTTCCTTTCCGGCACGCTGTCAACGCCGTGGAAATGGTAACGCGACAGTATCCATATCGTCTGCATTTATCGACGATGATACATCGCATTCCTTAACGTTATTTGTCTGGCCGTATCGATTCCTCGCCGCAAAAATGTTCAATAAATATTTGCATGGTAAATAGAATTTTTCTTCCCGAAACGTAATTTTGTAAATTCATGTTTAACGTTCGGAATTATTTTTCGACCGCACTCGTCAAATACAAATACGCTTTATCGCGTGGAGAGATTGGCTAACACGTTGTAATTAACGTCTGTTTGCTATTGGTCAATATGTTTGGTACATAGCAGAATGTAATGCACATGAATTTGTAAAGAAATTCTCACAGCGTTTCGTAATCTAGTTTAATCGTGTAGATGGGAAAAATTTAATTTGAGTAATCTAAATAAAAATTTTGACCATTTCTGATAGAAGTTACAGAAAGGTAAAGCATGACTATTATCTTAAATCCTTGAATTAGGAGTGACCGTCCTACAACGCTATTTAAGACCATTTAAGCGCGTATTGCGATACCATGTTGCATTAAGAAGAATGCTTTCGGAAAATAGGAATGAACAACAATCGTGTCTCCAAGTGTCTATGTTTTTAAGTTTTTACTCCATTGTTGAACGATGAATTTCGTCAGCAACGGATCCGAGAGGCCCACACGTTATTGTCTCCTCTCGAGAACAATGAACCATTTACTATGTTCGACGCTGTATTTTTCTTTTTTCTGTCACATACGCATACGAAACGCGAATGACGAAAAATTCTAAAGGCCTTTACGAGCCTATCTGCATACGGTGCATCTGTTTACACACATTTGGACACAATCGCGAGTGTGTGAATCATATCGATAATAATACGCATAACTTATTCCTTTGGCAAATAAATGCTTGACGTGATAATCGCGGAATAGATAGCGAGAGTATTCGACAAATTTACTCTTTTTAAAATGGAATCCGGCCGGGAAGTGTGAATAGATAAGAAATCTTTGTATCGTGTGAGAAAATTAAATTTCATATTCAATATAAATCTTTTTGGGTAAAAAAGGAATATTATTTGGTGTCCACTAGAAGGTATCAAATTATAATGAATACATATAAGGTTAAACGATGATATTACAGATGAATAAGAACAAAGATCGATGTAATATTTAAACTTGTAGTGGTTCGAAGATGTACATAAAGTCGAAATTTATTCATGAGCGAGCTTTGAAAGAAACACAAATCATATTGGCCCTTTCAAGCAGTTTGGTTTATTTAATCGTTTGGTTTCTTCGAGGAAGTGATTTAAACGCAAAGAGGAGATCGATGGAGCCATAATGTATTGCGAAACTTGAATGGTATCCTCTCTCACATTCCACGTGGACGACGTAGTTACGAGGACCGGAAGAAATTTTAAAGTTCAGTGTTCGAGGTCTTTTGCGCACGTAGAGTCGAGTGTAAACCCTAACACAATCCAGAAGGAAATAATTCCTGATGAAAAGTTACTTTTAAATAATCTTGTTTGAAAATTCGTAACGTATCGGCGGAACAGTTTGAAACTTATTTTTGTCTCGTTGGAATATCTTGAAAATTCAATGTTCCGTGGATTTTTTAACGAAAGCCTATAGCTGCCTCGTAAATAGCCTCGACAGTTTTCCACCGTCACAGGCCGAGATACTTTGAGAGCGAGAGGGTTAATGTCAATCAACTTTAAATTTCATATTTTATTCATCGTTTATCGAGTTTCACGCTGCCGTTTCTTTGTACCAACTTCTCGTCATTTTCCTTCCTTCGTTTCCCTTCGTTCGCTTCGTACTCTTTCTTTTATGTCTTGTTGCAGAGATTATTCATCAACTTCGTTCTCGCGTATCACTTTTATCGCCATCATCCACTAGTTTCCCCTCCCCCTTTACTCCAGTTTCAATTTCGTCTGTCTGTAGATTCTTGTTTATCGTTTTGCTTCGTCCGAGGCTCGCTTCTTCGCTCGTGTTTCTTCATCTTTGCGCGCACACGGCACGACCCACCACTGAATATTTATGCACCCGTTGCATTTTCGTCTTTTTTAAGACCCCCGGGCCATAGTTTTATCTTCTTCATTACCTCGTCACACTTTGGTCTTATTCGTTCGCGGCGTACTTTCGTGGTCGCTTCCCTCTTCGTCTTCAGCGTTTCATTTGCTCAACATTCAGCCCCGGTTTCTCGGTTGCTATTTTGCTCGTCGTTTCTCCTCCCTCGTCTTCCTTTCCGCTCTCGTGAATATTCATCCTGGATTCTTCGTTTTCTCAATTTTTCCCGTCCCCCTTTGATTCATCTACCGTGTTGCGCGTAGCATCTGCGTCTGCCTCCCAACAAAACTTCGCGTCGTTTCGATTCGCGTTTCCCTGGAGCGTCGTAATGCTCCGTGGCCCGTGCCCGTTTTAATTTTAATCCATTAAATGCGACGCGTTTAACGAGCAATGTCATTCATCCATTGACCAGATAACCAGATGTATACGGAGTGAAAAAGAAATTAAATTAATTTTATAGTTTTAATTCTTCTATTCATAGATCGTTTCGGAGATGACTCGAAGCAGATAAATCGAAACGCCAGTTAAAGCATTTCTTTAACTTTAAGATTGCGTAATTATCTTCCTTATATTTATACGCATAAGACTCTTTATTGAAGTTTAGTGGTACACTGCGCGATAAATTTGATTCGATTCAGTCTACCGCGGGCCCAGCGGAAGCAACGCGTTTCGAGTTCGCGATAAATATTAATAAACGTCCGATAGCTGGCTCTCGTTATTCAAATAAAAGATAATGCGTAAGAAATTTGCACGGTGTATGAATTGGTCGATCATCTCTGGTAATCAGAGGCAGAGCGCATTCCTTCCTAGACGTTTCTTCTCCACGAGCATTTAATTATGGAACGCGAACGGCGAATTTGATAGGTTGTAATTTCCTCCAGAAATATTTTTATCCTGATTAGGATACGCCCGTATTGCCGCGGGAAAACGGAATGCACTGCTACGATAGCTGGCGTTGAAATACGCAAATTAAACGTCATCCATATATAGGGTGGTCGAAAATTTATTGTAGACACTTTACGCGTGTTTATTATTTCCCAAAGTAAACAGAAAAGTGGTAGTCCTTTTTACCGAACCTTTTTAGAAATATTATCACGTATGCAAGTTATTTCAAACATTATATATCTTGTTCAGAGAAATTACCAGCCTTCTTGGCTCAGTCGCTGATGAAAGCAATCCTGAGACTCTTTGCATTTGAGCAAGTCAGGATTTTCAACATTGATCTAATTAATATTTAAAAACGTTATTCCGGGGAACGTTGGATGGAGGATCCACGAAATCCATTAGTCTATCAAAGGGGGACCGTGTAAAAAAAAAAGGTTACGAGCCACTGCCTTGGGACGCTTATTCCTCATTTATATTCATAGAAAATATTAACAAACTTTGATCGTTTAATTTGGGAATGGCCCGTGTAAGAAAATATTTCTTCGGGAAACCAGCCTGTAGACTCTAAGACTCGCTTCTTTGCACTTCCGTTGGAGATAAAATTATCACCCGTAAACTGCAAGCGTAGTCGAATTTCTGTGCCGCGGGCGCCGCAAGAGGCGGAAAAGGGTTAGGTCGCCGGTCCACGACCCTGTGTTTAAATAGTCTAGGTAACTATACCTACAGGGCCGTGTTCTACCTTCCAAACACGGCTCTGACTCAACGCACGAGATTGTTTTTGGGCAAAGAATTCGTGGCGGAGTCTCCGACCGACTTTGTCGAGACGCCGTGGTCCCGGTGCCTCGTTGCTAGACGCCCACCCACGCATCGCCTCCGGCACTCTGTACATACAGGGTGTCAAGAAAGTGCATCGATCGGTTGTCGTCGAGCACGAGGAGGAGGGTTTGCGTGGCCTAGGTCCGGGGTGATTTTAATACGCGATATTATTCAGACTCCTCGAGCGTCCACGTTTGTACGTTCCTCGGTCCCATTCATGGATCCCTCCTTTTTTTTTGCTGCTGAATAGATGACTGGGTTTAATTGGCGCACCGTGCAATCCCCTGCTTGTTTCATAAAAAATTAACTCGGAAGTTTGTGCGTGTCGCGGGTAGAATTTGGGTCGCGTTGATAGCTATCTCGGTTGTCAAAGAATGTCGTGGAACTTTTCAAAGCTTTAGCCCCCCAACTTCTATTTTTTCCTTGATACTTCGTGTCTTTCTCTGCTGCAACTCGTTTAGTAAGCGTAGAGAAATTATTAAACACGATAACATCGATAAATTGTTTAAATCGGCGAACGATTCATAAAATTGTTATAGGTTCTATTAAGATTGCCTCCCTGTCTTGTTGGAAATATAGTGTTCCATAAAGTAGCATTTGTACGAACGCGTTTCGGTTTCGCGAAGTCATGGGAAACGCGCGACGCTTGAAAAACGAATGGCATATCGATGCGACGCGTATGCAAGTTAAACACATTATACTAACGTGTGAATGAAACGAGTAAGTTAGCGAAACGCATACGCATAGAAACTTCATTCATGGCCTTCGACGGAAAAAGCATCGCCACTGTGTCGATTACGATCGCAAAGAGCCTCGAGGGGATCGGAACACTCGAATCTTTGTCGAACTTTTTACGCGACGAGAAAGTCGAAAAGTTACACGATACAAAATACACCGACGTCTCCGGCGTCTTAAAGTTATTTCCATTGTACGTTTATTCCCCGCAGCGTAGTGCTAGACTTTTTCTTCCATTGTTAACCTTTTCGTTTGCTCGGTAAGCGAACCGACGCGATTGTTTGTAGAATCTAAAAGCTGACGTTTTCGTTAACTTCGGGAAATAATCGACGATACAACGTCCCGTATCATAACTCAACTCGCCCTTTATTTTCACGCTAGCCAGCCTAAACAGGGATGCCTTCGATGCATTCTGCGATCGTAAGAAAATATTTTGTCAAGTGCTAGTGCTCGAACATCTCGCGAAATCACTAATGAATGTCACAATATTGCTTGACGAGCTCGTAAATGTAAATATATATATCGTAGAAAATGATTTTCATCGACGAGCATGAAATCTTTGTCGATGTACTCGGTTCAATATAGTTTTTCATCGCAGAAGTAATTTCAATTTTTTTTTGTTCGCGACTGCATCGAAATGCGTGTTACGTTACACTCCAGGAGAAAAGCGATCAGAAACTCATCACCGAGTCGCTAACACCTTGCGTCTACCTTTTGTCTTTGCAATTTCGCGTTTCGATCGCGATCACTTTGCGGAAAATTAAAAATCGCTGCCGCGGGGCTCGATTATTCCTTCGTAGCTTTGCCAGCGTTTCGGCTTTCTCGACAAAGACGGGACCAAGATTGACGGCATCGTAAAATGCATGCTTTGAAGCCTCGACCTGTCGAAAACGACGCGGCTCGCGGAAAGACGAGGACGACGTATGACAAGCATGTCAAACATGTGGCCCAATTTATTAGACTTTGTAGTTCGTCCTATTTTTATACTTGCTTCATGTTTTATCAACCTCTCTTTTATCAGTAAATTAGTTGCGCTTACTTACGTTGTAATGGCTGAAAAGTGGTCTTTAAGGTGATTTTGAACGAGATGAAATGAATGCATATCGGCTGTCCGCGATACGGTAGCAAAGTTCAAAATGGTTCTCGGGCAGAAATGAGTTTGGCATGCCCGACGTATCGGATTGAAACGTTAATTCTCATCCAATGCACGAGGAATCATAAATCACGACCGTCTTGCGGAACATCGCTGGCGTTCTGAATTGAATCGCGAAATGCCCACGGTATGCTAAATCCCGCCGCGTGGAAGTTCGTACGAACCATTCAGTGGAAGCTAACATAAAGGCCTGAATAGTCCGCGTGTACGCTTGGGGACCAAAGGACCGTGTAGCGTCTTTGTTGGCGCGCTCAAATCTTAAGAAACACTTCTTTGCTGAGATTATTTGAACGAGTCAAGCCACGTCCGCGCAAAATTTCGTACTAAATTGTCGCGTGTGTTTGTAAATGCCAAATATGAAAGCGTCGTTCAGCCGTTTTTATAGTCGTACGTGTCTCTGAAGTTCTTGGTTCATTATCCATATTTTCGAAATTTAATTCAACCCTGTTTTCAATCTATTCGCAACAGCTATTAAAGTTGTGTCGATTACAGTTTACTTTTTAATTTATATTCGTCAGCATCAGTGTTTACGTTCTATCGTATAATTTTTTGTAAAAGCTGAAAATAGTTTGGACTATAGGGAGTTATGCTGTTGATAACTTGTCTTCTAAATAGGAAAGTTCGAGTCAAGGAGGTCTGGTATAGAGAGCGCAAATTTAGACTAAAGTATTACACGGATGTGTGCAAATCCGCTCTGAAATTTTGAATGTTGCTCGCAAATGACTGAGAGTAATGGGGAAAGTTAAACACTGGCCTATATCGCGAGGTGTAACTTTCTTTGTGTCGACTATCTCACGTTATGGAGAACTCTTTCCCTTGCCTTCTCTTATTATGTGCTTTGTTAGGTGCTCACAAATGTAGCATCCGTGAGATTCTACGGTACACGAAGGAATTATTCGATAATTTAACTCTTTCACAGTGACTATTCCTCACGCTTGAGTATGCAGGGTAAATTAATAAATTAGCCGGATTTCTGGAAAACGAACAAAATTTAATAGAATAGAAATTGCGCGATACAGAAAGTGCCGTTTTAACACATGGCCATACAAGGTCCTTTATATGAAAATAGACAAAAATGTGAGTGCAACGCGTGTTGTGCAAATCAAGAGAGCGTTCTCTAAACAATCGAGTGAATCGTCGATACGCCATTCATAAGCAAATTTCGGTGCTTCGAAGGTCCATTCTTTTCGAAACACGTTTATGACCGAACAGCAAAGGAACAACAGGCTTTGTTCGTTGGTATTTTCTTTTTTTTTACGCGCGTGGCCTATCGCTAACTGTCAATACACAATTCTCGTTTACTTTTCTAGCTACTGACACGATCAAAAAAAGAACCGAGAAATCAATTTTTCGTCACCAACCTACGCACTACTCTCGATCAAAATACGTTGAATAAATAAGATAATTGGTTCGATAGTCAATTAATTAATTTTTTATTTGCAACGAAACACGAGTCTTGTGTAGGAGCATGACTGCCACTGTATGTAAACGATTATGATCGAGAGCACGGCGATCATCGGAGGGTGTTAAGGTAAGCCAAAAGAGCGAGCCGGAAGTCCCGTCTGGCACGATGGCTTTCCGCTCCACTGATTTCCTGTTTCTTCGAGGTCTTCTTTTTCTTCTCCGCCGAGGACACGTATGTACGGCGCATCTCCCTCCGCCGGTGGTTTTCCTTCGCAAGCCGATAATCATGTCCTTTCCACACACGTGTAATACCGACAGTCCTTCTTCTGATGTTGCTGCAGAATCGTCGAAGGTTGGAATAGGAAACGCGTCGTGAGAGGAATTCGTAATCGGCGGGTTAAGGAGGGCTGTCCTGTAGCTATGAAATCGGATTTATCCTCGATTTGATAAACGACGTCCTGTTTTCGCAAGGGCTTACCGCGTTCCGCTTAATTGAATCGAAGGATACACTCTTGCGCCTAGTTGGTCAAACAGAATTTCTTTTGTCTCTCGACCGAGTTGTTACGGAAACACGAAACTGAAGGATCACTATGCAATTTTCTTATCGAAGAATACACTTTTTTACAGTGAATTATAAATTGCACGATCTTCGAAGCCAAAAATCCACCGCTACGACAATGAGTGTCGCGGTGAATGCTCCACGCAGCGTGCGTGTTCAGGTGTTAGGTCGCTGCATAAACGGCGAAACGAATGCAACTTTCAGTGACCTTATCTTAACTACTTAACAATCGAAGCGTTCGAAACGATTCCACATGGCGCTGACCAGCAGATTATGGCTGGAGTATGTCGGTACTTTTTCCTCGGCGGTCTGGCAGATACGAACTGCACGTAGCCATTCAGCCAAACGCACGCGTGGTTGCACGTAAGTGCGGCCCTCCATCGACTTATGCACTCGGCAGACGTGCCCAAAGGGAAGCCAATTTGCATACAGAGAGCGCAATGAATTCACGACTTTGCGACTGCGACACCCAGCTTCTCCTGTCCGCCTTACAAATATATTGCAAATTCTGGCTACGTTTACTATTCTCTTGCGTACTATACGCGACGGAGGCATCGAACGTTATCGCGCCAAAAATCTCTGGCTTCTTTCGACAAGACGAACAATATCTTTCACGGATGTAACTTTTTATCAGAGTTGCGAACGATTATTACAACTCGAAGATTTCTTCGATAGTCTAGATCGCCACACTTTCTACGCGTGACATTCGACGCTGACACCTAAAAATCTCCTGCAATCAGGAAAAATTTCAAATTGACAACTATCGATAATAAATGTGTTCGCTGTAATAAATCGTCATTGTGTTTGGAACCTGAACAGCTTCGCGAAATTCGCTCGACAACGCGATGTAAATAATGGGGACCATAGTTGGATACGTCTTGGCTATGAAGTAAAGGACCTCCCTCTTGCGTTCCGTGCAACATGACGCCTTCGGTATCATGAAATTTATTGCTCGAGCCACTCGATATGGCGTACGAATCAGTAAAAAGGCGATTGCGACGATCACTGTGAAATAGATTTCTCTACGTGATTTATTACTTTTTTTTTTTTTAGTTACATTTCGACTTACCGAATATAAAGTAGTATCTGATCTCGTTGGATCGCCACGATCCCTCCAACGCTTTCAGTACCATCAGTTCGTACAGAATCAAAGTATCAAGAGCAACGCATATGATGAACGGCGGACCAATGAACAGCATCGTGTCCCAAACGTAAATGTCCGCCATGTCTCCCTCGAAGTAGTCGAATATATGCAGACCAATGGCGATGGATATGATGCCCGCCGACCAAGTTAGCAAAATGCCTTTCAGAGCCGTGGATTTCTTCAGCAGGACTTGTCCAAAAGTCGCTTGGTGATGGAAGATGTTGACGTATAATTGGAACTTCAAAATAGCGATCGTTATGACGGATACGTCGAAACTGATCAAGCAAACGTAATCCATGTTTAGTTTCATATCCACGTCGAAGAACCATCGAAGAACTTCTTCGAGAGGCTCGATTAGAATCACCATGTTCGAGCATGCTAAGCTGACAAAATAGAGGTTTATGGTCGTTCTCATGGAAGACTTGAAGACGATCACCAGGATTACCAAGAGATTCAAGCTGGTACCCAAAGACAGAAAAGTCAAGTTGATGATTCGCGTTGTGGACAGCGGAATGCTCGATACGATGATGTTGATTTTCGTGGGAGTCGTCGTCCTGGGAGGTGTCGACGAAAATATTGGAAACGAAACCTCCATGTTCGTGGAAACGCGTCCTTTGGCGCGGTAGAGTTTTATATTATTATCGGTTAAAGATTTCATTGGTTCCGGACAAGTGAACGTTACATGACGGTTGTCTGGTTCATTTTAGTATTCCGTTTACTCGAAACGGAGGACGCTTGGTTTAGCACTTGTTCGCAGTCATCTTTCCTCGGAAACTGAGAGATTTTTAGGATTGTGTCACTCACTGTTCGCTAACTCGAATTAACGCGTTGTTTCAGCAGACGGATAAACACGTCTGCGTTCATTCACGAGCCGCGTTAATAGTGAACAAGAAGGACAGTAGTTGGAGCTGTTGCTTTTAATTCTCTTCGTGTCTGATCCCATTTGGGAATTTAACGGTCTAAAATATCGTGGGTGGGTTCGTTCGAACTGCTCACGCCACTGGGGGATGACACGCGACGTTTTCATTTTATTAAGTGACGGAGAAACGGAGTAGTCATTTTTGGATAAATATCTTGCAGACTTTGCTGAATTATTCTCTCTCCGTCTCCTTATTTTATGATTATTTTGTTGATTTAGTTTTCATTTTATACTCGAAATTCATCGAGTTCGAAGAATATGAAGTCGTAGCTGAACAAATTTGTGAATTAGCTGCGCAGATCAGTGGGATGCTGCATTCTCTTTGCGCTCCATGCAGAGGAAGAATGTCATATAAGGCAATCCTTGACCCTGACACTACGGCCGGAGGATTTCGTTCTTCGAACGCAGTAACGACCCGACGACCAGTGACGAAAATAGTTCTGCACGAATAAATCATGCCTCGTCCGACATATTTATCCGATGAGAAGGATCGAGCCCCAGGGACTTGGCTAAGAGACAGAGACAGAGACAGAGAAATGCAGTCTAACGTTCGACTGCATAATGCAACAAGAGATGCAGGAGAAGACTCTCGAGCCTGTCGCTGGCAAATGGCCACGAGCGCAATATCGGTCACTATTTGGCCCTGATAGATTTATCGTCGGGTTTATACGTCCAGATCCTACGGAGAGCCTGGGACCGTTTCTTTCTAAGCGAAATCACCGGGTGTCTCACCTATTGTGCACCTGGAAGTCTCTACAATGGATGCATTTTCGAGGAGAAAACAGAGACTGTTTCTTTACTCGCGAAAGGATGCGCCCAATTTAAAGGTCGTAAATTACGTGGCCTTTCGCCTAATTTCGTTCGCGAAACTTCGGTGACAAATTGAACCATTTTTATCTCATACATTGTAGTTTATTCAAATCAAGAAATGGTAAAATAAACCGCAGGAAAACTAGTTTCGTCCTGCAACGAGATGTAGCCAAGTCTGGAGTCACAGCTTATGACTCAACGGTACGTAGAAGGCTCGTAGAATATGCAAGAAAGAGGCTATTCCACCATAGAACAAGCAACTCCTAACTGGCCGGATTAGGAAACAGAAATTACTATGAGCCGAGAAATACGTCGGAGAAAAGTTTCCTTTTTCGACAAGATGCACAAGAAAATGTTTATCGAAAAATCATTCGAATCGAATCGAAAGTGTTGAAATTAGCACAGCTTTGTGTATCTTTAAAAATAGTCCACGCTGGAAATCCTATTACGCAAAAAGCCTAAGTCCACGTCTATTCTAAGCAAGATGTTGCAACCTTCCTTCTCCATAACCGTCGTCGCTCCTTTTCGGCGCTAACCACCAATCTCCGCAGACCCTTTTCACCTCGCTGCTTTGCACGAAGATACCGTTCTCTCCTTCATCGGCGTGCCATTAGAGTACCTTTTCATGGCCCTTTGGTAAATTACGAAATTCGCGTTCTTCTTTCTGCGCGAGCGTCTCGGGCGCTGCCACGAATTCGCGTTTTCATCGTCGGGGCCAGGTGTGCGGTTTAGTTTTGCGGGTTCTCCTTCGCCCCGTTTTTTTCACGTTGGTTTCGTCTGCTGGGATCGGGTTAGCTGACGGAGGGCGTAGGGGCCAAATAAGTGCAGTGGCAGGGCCAAGGGCCCACAACCGGTTCGCCGGTTGGCCATCATTACGACGTAACTCAAGCGACCCTGAGGAGGCTTTGGACAGCACGATAATCAGGAGGCTGTATTATCATCACGAACCCGCCGTTCCTCGCGCATTATCATCACGAGGCCGGCGGAGGTGTAAAGTATTTCGGTCGAGGCACAATGTCGCCGTACGGCCTCGAGTGCTTCGACAGCGTAGTCGTTTATTGCGAGCCAATTTTTCACGCTCGTATCGTGCTCGTTTTTTCGGAAAAATGCACGGTTACGGCGAAGTAATAAAATTTATTTTTTATACACCAACTGGCGAGAATTGTTTAAGAGCGGCGAAACTCAATTTGCCATTGTTGGTGATTCACTTTTCCGGGCGCTTGTCGGAAAGTTTAACAAGGGACTTCATCCGGAGTGACCAAGTTTCCGACAGACGACTGCAACCATTTAAACGGGACGCTTTCGAAACTTCTTTCGGCCATTTTAAGATCGCCTCGCCACTCGGGAGTGAAATTCGACACTGACAAAATGAAACATCGGATGTTGATTTCGGATGATCCGTCTGAAAGAAATCTATTCATAAACCTTCCGCGAGGAAAATAGAAACCACGAGTACGACGCTTAGCGAAACTCGAGAACAAAGATTTCTCTATTAACCGATCTCGTTTATTTATACGCGGCGTGTTCATTCAGTCGAGTAAATTGATATCTTGAACGTAACGGGCCGAAAAACATGTTCATTAATAATTAAAATAGAACCATTTATAAAGAACTCGTTTTCAGTTATCGGATAGCCTTATACGATGACGTTAATGAAATTGTAGGTAATTTTAAACCAGATTGTCGTCGCGGATATTATAAATCTTTATAATGTACCATTAATTGCACCTGTCTCTGTTAAACGTAGTTCATACCATATACATCGAAAGTTACAGTTCAATGAGTCAACGGTCGATTCGAACCTTAAATTCTCGTTGAATCAATATAAAAATAAAATTGAGTCCATTCACTAATAGCTTATCTATTTCGAGATATCATACGCGATTATAATTATAGCCCGTTCTAGTTGCTAGATACACCTTGTGTTTCTAGAACGAAAAAAAAGAGTTATCTGTTTGGTTTACGAGGGGTCCTCGACCTATCCCCGAAACGAGTACGAATTTATGATCCAATTTATATTAATTTGAGTTTAACCAGCATCAGGTTTCCCTCGCGAATGAAATTTCAAGATAATTTCTTCCGCGAAGGTACCGAGCCGCGTAAACTTTTACCGCGTTTCTCGTTTGTTGTACGAGCGCTACTGCTTCCTGAAGGAATCCCGAGGAATGCGACGCGCGGCGTCGCGGCTCGGGCATAAAATGTTTCTACGCACACGATACTGCAAAAGAACGATTTATTGCAACTCGAGGCATTACCGCAGCCTCGTGCTCCTGCGGCTACTTTGCTCCTGCTTGGTCCTCTTGTCAAGAGGCTCGTGATATTTTACGCATGACCGGTTCGGCGAGTTTTTCCCGAAGACCGCAATCGCGACGTCCAACTGGGCATCATTTGATACTTCGAGCGCAGGTGCATCCTCAAAAAATTCGCGATCGCGTCCCTCGAAAACGCGGCACAATCGACATTGTGGCACCGATGCACGAGGACTGAAGAGCTGGAGACAATGGCCCTCGATAGAATTGCCTGCTTATAAATTAAGTGGAATACTTTTGGGTGCTTTCGGAGATGCCACCCAAAAGCATCTACAAATAGACGAAGTTTGGGAACTTTTTTCGTAGGTAATTATTAAATGAAATGGGTGGATTCTTTGCAGAAAATTTGAAATTTATTTCCTAATTTTTTTTAAGTAAACATTTGTAAAGAAAAATCTGTTCCTTTGGGATAAGTGCTACACAGAGTATAGTATAAGTATTGCACAGAGTCGAGTTTATTTACGAGTTCACTTTTACTATGTGTCGCGAACACACATTAATATCGAATGGCTAGATTTAATGATCTCGCGGGACTCGACCACAAAGAGTTTTAGCGGCTCACCGCTAAGATTTTTCTGGGAACATAAATAATCGCTTGAACTCGGGTTAACAATTTTTGTCGAAAAAGGGGCACCGCTTGTAATAAAAGAACACCTGCGGACGAGATTATAGTAATTGACGTTTTCGAAGGTGAAATCGTACGGAAGCGCCAAACAGGACGTCAGAAAGACGAAGGTTTGCACCCGTCAATTCGTGGTCACGCAGATTGACGCTTCCAAGCTTCGTCGTTTAATTAAACACGCGTGTTTCCAGAAATCACTAAAGAAATTGAGTTTATTGATATAGTAATAATTTCATTTTCCAAATAGAATATAATATACTATATTTATGGTCATTAAGAACAAAATAAATTCGTGTAAAGAACATTTTACCGGAATCGAAGAGTTAATATCGACAAGAATTAATATCGATTTTCTTTAATGACATTTGATATGGGCGATTTATATATCTAGCGATGATAGATAAGATTGTTTCGGTTCCTTGAAAATACGAACGCTTTTTAATCTTTCTCCTGAATCGAACCACTGATATGAGATTGGAACATGATGAATGCCCGAAAACTTTTTAGCTTACAAACCACCCGATGCGTTATCGACGCGGAAACTTTCGGAGGCGTGCCCATATAAGTGGAAAATCCTTAAATCTCTGGGGCGAAAAATGGTTCCAGCAGACCCGGAATTACCACGTCGATCACCCGTATTGGGCGAAGGGGTGAAATCCTTCTTGACGCAGTCAAATCCTTTCCACGATATATACAATTTAATCGGCACACCTGCTTGCTTATTTTTTTTTAGTGGTGATTTGCACACACCTGGTTTCGTATTTCCTTGCATAATAATAACAGTTTCGCAATAACGCGAGTGCATAATAATAGAACCAGATAAAAAGAATTTTTACTGAAAATTAGTCTAAGGCTAGGTGGTTCTTTGAGATCTGGGATTTCTTGAATTTTCCTTTTCCTTACATTTTTGCATGTAAAATTATTTGCTCGTAGAT